TTTGTCTTCTTTCATTAAATAGCTTCAAACCCATTTTGCCAGGAAAAATCTTAGATTTCCTTTCCGTATTGTGCCCCCCCCCCATTTTCCCCCCATTTTTTTTTAAATTGCAATTTATTGATTTTGGGCACAATTTATTAATCTAATGTTGAAAATTATTTATTAATTTTTTGCAACAAGCAATACACATGAACATAACTATAACCTGCAGTGCACGAGCGCAAGAATAATGCCAAGTGGAGCACATCACATTTATATCAACGTAATAAATTCCATCTCGCGCACTAGATTAGGGTTGCCAGTCTATGTGAACGTGTCACACGGCGGTCAGGTTTGCCCAAATAAGCACAGAGAGAAGGATGATTCACTATCAATAACAATAGGCTTTCTCCTACCATGGCCTTGTGTGTCTGGCTCAAGCTGCAGCCAGCCATCTTAATCTAGTTCATGTAGTCCATGGATGACGATGATGTAAGTGGAAATGGGTTCAGATGATAGCAAGAAGCAATGTACACATGCGCGCTGACAGCTGGCTGCAATGCACGCAGTGCGTTATAATGGCACAAGCCACAAGACTTTTTGTAATTGACTCCACTGACAAGATGGCCGTCCTCTACCAAGAACGATGCATTGGCTTACATGTAAAGCAATCTGGGATGTGTGGCATTGGTTATTCTCTTCTTTTTTTACCACTGGAGTAACACGATGTCATCGTGCTGGCATATTTCATGGCTTCGCTTGACCTTAATTCTCTAACTGCAACAAAGCATGGAAATTGCTGGGCGTCATCAAGTTCAGTGAGATTCTTACAGGCCAAATTGTTTATGACAGTGGTATTTATTTCTGATGCAATCCTATGCCAGTGTGATTGGTGCTCGGGATATGCTTTCCATGATGGGTGTCGAATGCAATTTGTTTTATCATCACAATTAGTTCTTTAATATCATGCATCAGTGCAGCGACTGCAAGTGGAATGCCACTTGGCTTAATATAGAGTGTAATATGTCAACGCATTTCCCCAGACATTTCATGCATGTTTTTATGTGCAGTTGACTATCAGAATGAAGAGCAAGATCAAGGAAATACATACATGTATCTTGTGGAATGAAAATTATGATTACTATTAGATATGTTTGAAAATAATATATTATTTTATGTCTATTGGAGAACACTCTATATTTAAAAAAAAAAATCTTATTAGTAAATTAAGTGGACTGTTGGCACCTAAAATCTAAAATGTATCACTAGCAACAACACTAATTAGTAAAAAAATAAACATAATTGACTGCAGAACCAAGTCAACTGTATGAATTCAGGAGGCTTCCTTTCTGCAAAATATAAATGCCCAGCGAGTTCATGTTAAAGGAATGTGTTTATTTTTAAAGTTATAGAATGGAATGATAATAAAAATTGGACTGTAAAGTCATCTCAAGAATTTCAGCACAACGGCATGGCAAGCACTGGGATGGGGTTCTGATGTTGAAGTGTTTCAACAGCTGAAAAATGGCATAGAATAAAGCAGATGCCCTTTCCATGAATCGCTGGCTTTCTAGGCTAGACCAGGTTAATATGCTCATTTTCACAGATGTTATTGCAATTCTTGGAGTTTTGAGTTTCTAACCTTTGAAACAATGCAAAGTACTCCGGATATACTGGGTTTTTTTTAATGGCAATAAGTAAATCATGGTTTCATTTGCGCAAATATTCCACACACAAAATATGTGTGATGTATTGGTAAAAATTATTGCCTCCCAAACCCCCAAATATCAATCAACAGTGGAGTTTTAATGGAAGTATGGTTCCCTTCAATTTTAACGCAATCATTCAACAAGCACAAAGCGAGGCAACAAAGTGTTTGACAGAGCCTACATTCTGGTTTTTTTTCCTGTGTTGCCCTAATAAAAAAAAGAAAAACCATGGTTTGGCCAACAATAAAAACAGGTAATTTCGCAAACAGTACACAGCTGCAGTGTTGGGATCAAGCAAAGCCTCGTTGGGCTTCTATGGGCTCAGCTGGCTGTCTTGAGGTGACAAGCGTACTAATAACCGGCCATAATTACAACACTCAACCACGCTATACATTAATGTTGTTCCAACGCTTTGTGGAAACCAGACAAAGCAACAATACAATGCCAGGTTATATGGGTTAAGTCCCGTCTAATATACAAGCACACGAATGATTTCTTCTTGCAATCTGGCCAATTTTGCGACTAGATCGAATCCCTGTGACTATCCTGCTGTAAGCACTACATTAAGGCTTCGTTTTAGAGTACCGGTAATGATCTTCTTCGAGTCAGATTTTCATGACACTAAAAATGGAAACTATAGTATGCAGCACAAATGGCCTTATTGTGCTTCATCTGATGGGCAATTTCTGTAATGGAACATTTACAACAAGTATTCGGAATATTAGGAAGTCAAGCTATTAACTTTTTTGTAAACAGCTACTTTGTGAGAAAACTAGAAATAGTACATGAGACGATGAGCATAATGATTAGCAATTGAAAATCTTGTTCAATCAACTTTGGATTGAAACCTTCAGCAAAGAATGGAAAGAAAACAGTATAAACCATTTGGACCAATAACTAAGACTAACTGCAGTGAAAAATAACGACAACTGTGTCAGGATATACACATTAACTGTAATCCTGATAGCTCATTTCTGCTGTTTTGATACATAATATGAACCGTGCTGAACATTTCCTGTTTTGTCCACCATCATGATGTGGCATTCAACAACAAAACAGTACAGACTTGTTCCATGTACAGTGGTATGAAAGTAAATGAACGTTGAAAAAGGCTCACTTTAACATGTACATTTACTATGTCTGCATGTACACTGTACACATGCCACACTAAAACACATGACCATGCTCGAGAGGAAAGCCAATATTTAATGAACGATTCACAAGGCAAGGCCAGGGGTTTAATTTAGAAGCTTATTTCCTCAAAAAAAGATCCCCAATTCGTGTTGTCTGTTGGAAAACGGCCAACGCATATGCCATGGATCATGCCCCGCTACAGTGCGTGCATGGCGTACAGTCAGCCATGTTGTTGAAGTGCAATTTTTGTAGTGTACACATTGTACATAAGTGAACATGGAATGGAGTGCATGTACACACTCCATTAGGACTACCAATCTCAACCAACAATGACATGACTGTGAATGTAATTACTGAAATCAATACAAACCCAAGCTATGAACTGTTTCTTTTCAAATGACCACAAGGATGTAACAGGCATCTTGAATTTAAAAAAAAAATTGTGTTTTACTGGCAGTCTACTTCATAGAACAGGAAGTAAGTTCAGGAAATCTAATAATTCTAAAAAATGAAGGTTGTTCTTGTCTTAAAAGACTTGAGCATAAGAAATTTGTAGGTCACAGAAGCAAAATGTTCTCTAAAAGTTTTGTTAAATTGTATAACAAATTTTTCATTAACCTTAACCTAGTGTTCTGAAGGTAAAATTACCATCGCCTATTTTTATTTTTTTTCGGTCACTATAAAATACCATGGCACTTTTTAAGTAACTACACTTCATCACCATAACGGTTTCTTTGTGCACACTGCTGCTAGCCCTGTGGTTTTGGTTCGGAAACTAAAAGCCCACGAACCCACATTGTGAGAATTGGGATAAGCCCTTTTTGTCCATGGTGAGGGGCCACTACACAATGGGCTCCGCGCCAAGGTCTACCCATGGCGCGTGCCGACCACGTGCGGCAATGTAAGGGTCGATACTGATGGGCCTAGCATGGGTCCAACTCGGGTTACTTGCCCCCGTGCTGTACTGATTGACGGGTGGCACGCTTAGAGGGCCAGACGAGGCCCGCACGGTACCCCTGGCACGCGACCGTATACGGCGAGTCGCGTGGCACAACACTTCACCGAGCATGAGTCTAAACTTTGTCAAGGACACCACGGCAAAATGGCTTATCAGCTGCTGCCAGCTACCACGACTTAAAACCCGGAACTTTTTCTGCATACACAGTGTGGTTTTGCCCACAACAGGTTTTTGTTTCCCTTTTGCTGGTTTCAAAGAAACTCTGAAAAAGACTATCTACTGCAGAGGTTTACATTTCAATCTTTTCTTACTTTATCTTTTCTTTCTCAAATCTTGAGAATCTTCAAGCTAACTGGTCAGCATGGTCAGTTTCACAGTAGGCCTAGGCCTAGTTGTATTGCTCCTTTTTAAGCCAACTTGGAAAACACTTAGGCTAGTATTGTTTGTAGGCCTAGTTAATTCTGGAATTGTGGAACTTGGTAAATCAAGATGATATATCAACCCAAATTGGTTAGGAGATTTTGGTCGTCACCCAATTTATAAATACAAGATCCAACATTAATAAACTTCATATTTCTGCCAAACCACCGTTGTCTAACTATAAAACCAGCATGACCAGTGCAGTGAGGGTCTGGTTTCTGCATGGATAGTTTCTAAGTTTGGGGAGGAAATGACAAATTTCTGAATTGGGTCTACGTAGGCCTAGGCCTACATGTTGTAGGCCTACCTCTTTTTAAATGGGGTTCCAACATAATTGATAATTTCCAACATAAAAAAAACTGATCAAAAAAAGGGGTTTCAAAATTTTTATTTGACCAATCAACATTGAGCCTTGTCAATTCCCTATTTCCATTGTTGTGGGGCAAGTTAATATAATAGTTTTTATGGTGAAACTGAAGCCATCTAACCGGCGCAGTTTCACCTTTTGGTGAACAGAATTTTCCAGAAACATTCCTAAAACAAAACAAAATGGAGGGCCGCACGTTAGGTGACGGTCGAAGGCCACGCTAAGTTCTTTTTCTCAGTAACACAACTACAGTACCGGTCGTCTTGTTGTTGACAATTCATTGGTTTTGCCCTCAGAGAATCGAGGAAACGTGGATAGTTAAAGGTTAAAAAAAAAATACACAAAGCAAAGAAATGAGAGTCCAGCTAATACCATGAGCTGATGAGTTGAAAGTAGGGAAAACACACGTGCTTCCTTGGTGCTTTTGACTTACCTTACAGAGTCTGAACCCGGGTAATCGTCCGAAGACCTGGTAAACTCCGTGGATTGGTACACACAATTCATGCAAGCGGCGGGGTCAACTCCTGACCAAGGCTCCGTCAGGGTGCTAATCCGAGAAATGTCGCCCTGGGTTTTGTTATCAGCAGAGACGAAAATCGGCTCCCGTGTTAACCAGGACCCGACTTGGAATGGAAATAGTCGCGTGAGTCAGAATGACTGTATTTTGTTTCTTCAGAGACGGTGGAGGGATTACGAAGTCGGTTTCGGCCGGTCGTAAAAATACAACGACGTAGGGGTGACCTCACCGGTTAGACTAAGTAATAGCCCTAACAATACGAAAATGTCCTCTCCTCTAGTAATGCCGTATAAAACACTACACAGCAGTAAGCACTAAAAGCTGCCCTAGGTGGCCGACGCAAAATTATCAGTTGCAAACGAAGGGAAAACGGCTTAAATAAGGGAAATTTTCGGTACAACGAAATGACTTGTCAACTCCTACAGATAACACAACGTACGGATGTGTGTACCGAACAAAAATACAGACAACGTGCAGTATTGGCTTTTATATCGTGAAGACGGATCACGCACCAGCTGGGCCCGTCAGCAGATGAATATCACTACGCCGCATAATTAGATTGTGATTTGTCCAGTCGCGTGTCGGTGATGTCTGGCTGTGTTTACGTCGGAATATAATGAATAATAATTGCGCTACATCAGGAAATGCAATGGTTTTCCCCCCACCATTTTCTGATTTTTGTTTACTGTCTATCAAATATTTCGGTGTGATACCGTTTCTGTTGTCAACTAAAGAGTAGCGAGTAAGACATTTTAATCAATTGTTCGAATGCATTTATGGACTTCATTTTATCATGCAATTGCAATGAATCCAGTTCACTGTGACTTGTTAATTTCTTTAATGCGCTACGAGTTGAAACGAATCAAATTATTATTATTTTATTTTCTTGTGCTGAGTTGATATGACACATTTCAATAATATATAGGCAATAAGATAAAAGTTTATCATTTTAACCATTTGAACAACTCAGTGCAAATGTAGCCTATAAACAAATATTATGGAATTGTTATTACAAACATACGTTTTGGTCCGTACTTTTCCTTTTCAACCACCCCTCAAGAATGAAAAAAAAGGGGGAGAAGATTTATTATAAAAAAGGCAAATTTTGTGGCACCGTGCTGCGTTGCCACAAAATTGGCTTGCTTTTTTTTTTTTAATAATAAATCGTGCGCGAAGCAGTTATGTCCGTTTGACCACTAGCACAGACTACTCACAGCCGGCGAGTGAGGGCGCAAATCATACGTAGCGGTGGAGGCAGATTCTATCCAGGATGAGCCCGTGTTGTACATCATCATGAGCGCAAGGCAAAGCTCATGATGCAGGATGATAGTAGTTATGAACAGATTTTCTCCTCCGTATTTTGCATAACCAACTGAACATGGAGTTTTTTTCGTTAGCAAATTTCGAAGAATAGTTTCTGGGTACTACTTTCTATGTTGCTGCATTTGTATCCATTGTCAAGGGCCAGGTATGTGGCGGTGCGCGCAGTGCGCTGAACATGTACAACAAAACCGCCTTTGATTTTATTACATAAGTCGGTTCGATTAAAAAATGTATTACATTGTAACAATTTGTGAGTTTGAGGGTCGCGAACTGTTTTGTTTACATGATTGGCAGTCTGCATTGGCTCAAATAAGACAAGAACAGCCTGACCACGATGGAACCAAACCGTGCAATCTTCGCATGAAGAAATCGGCCGCTCGAACCACACTTTTCATTTCCCGGAAAACAATGGTTTAAATAACTCTTTCTTATTGAAAAACAATGCAATTTTTTGTTATGTTAATGAAAAAAATCTTCAAGTCTGTCAATTTGCTATTAGTCTACAATATGGGAAAGGATAGAACAATAGCAAGATTAGGCGTGACTTGGACTCAGGAATACTATACTCCTCCCACATTGCAACCCGGGTTTATACAGGAATGCCAATTCGCTCCATGTGCGAAAATCGTGGATGCCGTGTGGACTCAAGCCAGTATACACAATAGGCGGCCTACATTCCAAATTTCATTGAAACTCAATAGCTGATTCAGAAGCGATGTAATGAATCCGCACTATGCAATTCCTCAGATAGCAGTGTACGCTTAAAAACTATCCGACCAGTAGTGAATCTAAGGGAAGGGGTTGCCTCCCATTCAGCCGCCGAATGTTATGAAACTAGTAAAATGGGGCCACAAAATAAATGGATGCTACATTTCCTAAATGTACTCTTGAAGTGCCTTAGAATGCAGGAGAAATCATCGTAGATTTCAACAGTTTTCCCGGGGGGGGGGGGGGGGGGGGCATGCCCCGGACCCCCTGAGCATGCAGGACGTGCCTTTGGGACTCCTTTATAGACTCCACCCCTCCTTTTACATCACCCCCCCCCCCCCCAATTTCCAAAAAGCTAGATCCATACCGACCTAGCTATGTGGTCTATAGGCCTACACGAACAAAAATAATAAAGGTGTGTGTGGCCACGATCAAACAAAGGCGCATATAAAACGCAATTTTGTCAACCAGATTGACAATTCCAACGCCTCACTATTTTGAATACGTTTTAGTGGCTTCGGTATTTATGTAGATTTCAGTTCAGTGCCACATGGGGTTTTTAAAAAGCCATAAATTTGTGTAAATATTAGTGAATGTGTAAATTTACATTAGCCACATGTGTGTTGATTTTTCACATTTGTTCCTGAATTTGTTTGCTTTTTTTTTTTTATTTACACAACTGTGTCAGCTGGCTGTTGTACCTGTCAGTCTTTATTGATTTCAGTGTAGATCTATTGATAAAAATCAATAAGTTGTCAATTTTGAATAGGCCTATTGGGTTTTACACGACACACATTTAAAAGCGCGGTATAGTCATTAGTCAGACAGCGCTAACATTTGTTGATTTATTGAACAAAATCTCAATCTTATATCAGAGACGATATTATCCATGGGAACCAACCATATTGTGCTTCTGTTGCAGGCTTGGAATCAAAATCATGTTGATGGTGTCTCGTTTTCAGATCAAGTGGTGAATCACATCTAGGCCTACTGGCAAGATATTTGGGCGGGAAGTCCAAGAAGTTGTTCAGTGAAGTCCGAACTTGTTTCCTTCTATTCGCACACTAATGGCCGGCCGGCCAGCCAGCTAACTGTTGGCACACACGACCTCAGTTCTGTCGACTGAGAGATCCAACATTGGTTTGACATCACCGGTACGTTTCACTTATGAAGGGAGGATTCCTTTCTTGAAAGCCAAGAGTTTCAATATAACCCTACTCTGACGACACACCAGGCCTGAATGAATCGCCCAACAATAGGAATCCCAGGTGCCTTCATACCCGAAATGTAAAACAAAGCCCTTTTGTTTTTATTCAGCTGCTGTTTGAAGACAGGTGTACGTGTTACTCTTCAGTGATTGGAAACACTGGAGTGGTCTTTTAGTCCAGGCCTATTTAAACGAGCCTGAAATCGACCATGGATCGGCATGATATCGTACAAAATATACTCAACTAGTGGTAAAAGTGCAACACCGTCCAACTGTTCATAATTACCAAATTGCAAAATGAAACCAACGTAATTGTCGCACGGATATGTCTTAAATAGATGTGTTGACTTCATTTTTAACTGTGAATAGGACTGTATGGCAGTGAAGAACTATGTCAGGGCAGACACAATGCAACAGTGTGATTGTTACAGCCTGGCATGTTAAGTTTCTCGATTGGAAGACTTTGTGCCATTATTATGCAAATTACGAGTCATTTAGCAATTCGATTGGCCTTTTGGCGCGTGCGACAACCGACCGACAGGTGTTTTTGCGAATTGTGGCTGGCATTTCAAAAGCACCTTCAGAAAGTAGTTCCGACTCGCAAGATTTCGGGAAACATCCATTTTAATGGCTTGAGTGACAACATGGTGTATTCTGTGGTTGTGGTTATGAAGTATTTGTTCCCTTTAAGATATAATTGTGCATGCAACATATTGAATGTGAAGAGTTATACCTCCCGTGTTCCGTTTAGGTTTTTTGAAACTTGTTTCACCGTTAGGGAAGTGGACATTAAAAAAAAAACCACTTTATCTACAGACGAACGTTTCTTTAGAAGTTTATGGACTATATAATTAGATATATTATTAAAAATGTTTATGAATTATTTAAAATTATTTTCCGTGGCTCGGTTCACTCCTGACAACGATTCCTTTTCTCCCTTCCTTCGAAGTCTGTCACCCTTTAAATGAGTAGATTGCTGCGACCGGGAAATGTGCCGCTATAATGATTATTCCAATTTATTGGAAAAGATCGTGTTATAGAGTCGAAACATCAGGCTCTATTTTTTTTTCTTCAAAAGTTGATTCAAATCGAAGCATCGATTAAAAGTTACTCCCCATCAGTACTTTTTTTTAGGACCAGTTTTACAGAGCTCTTGTGTATATGCCTTGTGGCTGACTCTTAGTCGATTTTAAGTGTATTTGGTCGTTAAATCTGGCGCAAAACCATAACTGAAATTTCCGAAACTTGAGCAAGGTCAATATAATTAAAGTTGTGCATGCATTAAAACTTCGTTGAGGAAAAAGTCACTCTAATAGGGCCCGCTGGATCTTCGAGTGAACAATACTACGTTATTTGCCTGTCATCTATAGAGGGCGCGTGATATTAACATACATCTCAGTTTGAAGGCGTAGCGGGACGAAAATCAGAAGGACAGAGAGACACGTCAATTGCGAGATTGAATGATAAAGTTTGTTATCAAATTGATAAAAAATCTCTTGCTTCACGTTTTCCCACCTATTGTAAACATATGTCAGAAAGTGTTGAAATTTGATCTTTTTTTCAACAAATTTAGTGGACATGTATCACTTGTACAGTACGATCGATAAAAAGGTGTTAAAGTTACAACTTGTTTACTGTTGCTAAAAATGGGGAACAAGACTGTATTTCGATCTTTGAGGAAAACAGAGATCGCATAAATTAGACGGCTGTTGCACGGATAACTTTTAAAACAGAAAATAGCCGTCGTTTTTGCGGCCTGCAGTTTCATCCAAAATGGCGGACAAGCCAGCGGATTCGGGTAAGGTTATGTCGAATAACTTTGCATTTTTTGAGCTTACTACATATCCGATTGGTGGTTGAGTGGTAACTGTTGAATCATTAATAACTGTCGATGAAAATGGACTGGGGTCTTGCAGTTTCGTGGGACATTTGTGCCAAAATGGAGCGAAAAAATACGGACACAACTTGACAGTGACAGCAAATGCACGTTGCCATTGGCAACATTATGCATTGCATGATATGCCATCATGCTGATCATGGCCATTGTCATTGATCACGATTCATGTTTATTGCTTTTGAAATCATTTACAAAATTCCCGCGTGAAGAAGAGTATCTGTTTGGTTGATATATTTGTGAATTAGCATGTAATTGTTTCATTAAAGCGGTTTGGCTTTCACGCCAATGTCGAGGGGGAAGCGTCAAGGCCGTGAAGGGGTAGCTTAGGCTTTAGCTAAAAAATGCGTCAACAAGTGCCAGTGGCGATCGTGTAGTGTAGGGGATATAAGGGAACAAAATCCACTTTAAAATTATTAGACCGACCAAACTAGTTGGCGGCATTCTTAATAAACAGCTATGTCATAGATAGAGGGCAGGGTTTCGATTTTTTGAGGGAAATTTAGGGGTAAAATGACGATGACAGCGCGACGACAACACGCAACTCGGAAATAAAGATGGCGATCACCGCGTGATGTACTGTGAGCACGCATGGCGTGCTGAATCGCAAGGCACAAACCGCGCAGGAAAATCGTGATTTCTACCCCAAGAAACTGTTCAAAATTGCAAACGGGTGTCATTAGAATTGAGAAAAGTCTGCTTTTGATTGTAAAGATGATTTTTGACCAATGAAAAACGTTTTTGACTTTAATTTGATCAAAACAAAACAGGGGCCCTACACTACATGATCGCCCAACAAGCGTCAACTGGCGTCAACTAATGGCAACGATCGTCAACCCAGCGTCAACAAATTTTGTATAGGCTTTTGAATATGGAAAGTAGCTTTATATGATAGCAAAAGTGACACCGAACACCTGCTGCATAAAAACTGAAGATAAAAATGTTTTAAAAAGTTGATTTTAAATGCAAAAACTACAACGAATTTGTCGATTTAGTATTGGCCGCCATCTTGTTTGTTAGCACACATGCGAGTATGTATCTCGGCTTAATGTACACAAGATGGCGGCCAACACATCGACAAACTCATCGTAGTTTTTGCATTCAAACACAACTTTTCCAAATAAGTTTAACTTACTTTTTTATGCAGAAGTGTTCATTGTCACCATTTCTATGATATAAAGTTACTTTTTATGTTCAAAAGCCTATACGAAGTTTGTTGACACTGGGTTGACGACCGTTGACGCTTGTTGACGCCAGTTGACACTGGTTGATGCATTTTAGTAGGACCGCTGTCGAGTGCAAATTGGAAACCTTGGTCCTTGCTTAAACTTGCGCAGAAAGTTCTAAAGAATGCAAATTTCTCTGCAAAATTTAAATTTGCGTTACAATTGTGCAGAGGCGATCGCAAATTGGCAACCTTGCGCAAATTTGCAGGACTATGCTGAGTCTGCCATGAGAGAATATAACTAGGCCTAGGTTTTAAATATTTAGTATCTTGCACTCTCCTGAATATTCTTGGGTATGGAGGAAGTATTGTAAATTTTGGTTGTCTGATTATTTCATCATTTTTTTGGGGGGGGGGGATGGCCTCCGTTTGTGTGTGTGTGTTTTGACAATAGAGCTGTATAATAAAGAACAATATACAGCTCTATGGTTTTGGCATATTTCCCCCCCCCCCCCCCTGTTTGGCGACCAAGAAAGACAATATACAATGTTAATTTTGAGTTGCAAAACTCAAGAAACAACTCTAAGGTAACTCCCGCCATATTAAGGCCATAACAGATGACATATACAGCTTTGTGCCTCGCTCGGCCGTTCCTGATCGAGTAGTGCGCAATTATAAAATTGCATGTGCATTTTGCAGCACGGAAATTGAGCGTGCGCAAGTTTAAACAAGCGCAAGGTATCTAAATTGCGCTCAACAGCACTAATGCCATGCTTTGGAAATGTTACGAATATAATACAAACTAACGTTAATACTATGAAGTGTTTATAACCGTGAACCGGTCCCGCATGTTGTCGTTCATGAGACGGCACATTGTACAGCGCCGTCATGAGCACGTATACAATAACAAATAAGTAACAAGTAGGCCAACACCAGATTAAGATATTAAATCTCAACCCGAGTGAACATGGTGAACGCATGGCCTAGTGGAAAGCGTGCTAGCCTAGGAAATTCCTTCTAGGCCAAGGAAGTTTACACGTAACTAGAAAGAATTTCAAATGCAAATATCAAGAACAGTCTAGGACCTGTGCCCATTGTTCTCATTTACAATACATTTGTTTCTATTACATTTAATAGAGATTTCACAAAATCTTTCAGCCAAGCCTATAAAAGGTGATTTGTTTTTAGTTTCCTAAAATCAAGCTTGGAAAGGAAAGGAAACTATAACTTAAAAACACAAAAGTGAACTTGGTATCCTGTTCTCTGATGTATGCCAGTTGACAGGTCAATGCTTTCCACCGTTTTTATGTGTACAATACCTACTTGAAATTGAAAATTTGGACAGTGTTTCCTGTCACTTGCTAATTAAACGTTTGACTGCCTCCCTAGCAGTCAATTAAAAACTCAACACTTGTCTCATTGTCCTCTACAAATCATTCAATCTTGCACCGCTAGACCCACTGTCTTTCCCTTTCAACTACCAGACACAACAGAGTGCATGCAGCTCTTTTCTTCACCAATCAAATCAGACTCACACCTTGTATTAGTTACACTCTAGTTTACAATAATATTTAATAGTAATAATAATAAAGGCATCATCACATTGGCGTTCATTCACGGGCTCCTAGAAACGAAGGCCTGGCGCCGGCGATGGGTAGAAACGTGCCAACATCTGCAGAGGCAAAGTGTGAATGTTGGCGACGGCTGAGAAATCAGTGCAGATTGTACTTTGTTTTCTTGCTTTGACAGAGTGACAGGATTGCGTTTTGGGGTTGTATAATGAGTGACGTTTATGTATCTCTTGTGCTCTACACTGCTTGTGTGCTTTAGTTACAGAGTACCAATTGTTATCAATTCCTATAGAAATACAAGTATATATGCGGTTGTAACAATTTAAATTGCGTTCAGTAAAAATGTGGTCCATGTCCACAAATTCTCTTAAATATCGTAATTACTTAAGCATTGTAAGTCTATAACCATTGTATGGGTTAGCATTTCAGTAACATTAAATTGGATTTTTACCTTAGGGAAAAATCATGGTTCACTTTGTTTTCAAACTGCTCATTTAATTCTTCAACACTGGACACTGTTGATTTGACAATCAATGTTCGTTGGTCAAATGCTCTAGGACATGCATAGACAAGTATTTGGCCACTGATATGCCACATAGTCACATATGAACTGTGCAAGTAACGATTCTCCCATTTTTCAAAACTTGTACCAAAAGTTAGCACAAGCCAGCCTGTTGTTATCCTTGCTGAAATTTCTTTTACATGTTCATGTCTTTAATTCCCCCATCGCATTAACTTTCTCACAGTCGCTACATGCACTCTGACAGGGATGAGCGTTGGTGAGGTGCGAACTCGGGCGCGTGCATCCATTTACCAACTCGACACATCCCCCCTCCATACGCACACATGCATACACATGTAACAATCTACGTGTAGCCCCGTCATCACCTCACATAGCCAAACACAACGTTATTTCTTCCCTTGCTGCTGTAATTATTGTGCAGGATAGCGTAAAGGGGGTCCTGTGCATGATGTTTAGTCCGGTGGGACCCAATCGTATAGTGTGTATAAATTGTTATGAGAGCCCAAGCAGAAACTGCCACAATCTTGGTCCTAAGCTGTGTGCCCGCTCCACTGCCCAATTCACTTTACTGCTCGTTGCACTTTGTTCGTAGTTATTACAACCGTATCAATCATTCTGTATTTTGATTGTTTTCCCGCCATTGTTGTTAAATGCAGGCACCAGAATGATATCCTGGACTTTTGTCACAAATTTTGTTTCGGAATCAAATCGCCGTGTAAATTGCAAGATTGGGCATTTTAGTCACGGAATTCAGAGATGCAATTTAGAATGTTAATATCTCATTTCTGTTATTGTTAGGAAGCGTTTTATTGCTCTTGGGTTGTTGAATTTATTGGAGATTATTTTGGAATGAACGAGTCATGGTTGGATATGGGTAACCTTGAGGTGTTAGGCCGTGTATATAATTTATCAATATGTTGATATTAAAGATGTCGAAATATTGTCACGCTCAATTTTCTTTACTTTTTTTGGCAATAAAAATGGTAAAAATGTAAATGTAATTCTAATGCACCAAGTGTGAACGCAGATATCTAAATATCTAAAGCTCAGACAAACAGTTCTTTGATTTTTTTGAGGCCACATTCAACAATTCCTGTACTGGAATAACAAGAAATATTAAACAGACAAAAACATAACCTGTCATAGTTAACGTTGGAGAGACATTAACCAATTATAATCTTTAATTGAACATTTTGATGAAAAATGCCATGATAGTTTTTGATCAGTGATTAAGCTAGGGATACTTAGTAGACCTGCAGAGACCCCACTATATGCAAAAAAGAGTTAATTGAGTTAATTGTCACTTGTTACTGCTTTTGGCTAGTTGCCAGCCAAGTAAGGCAGATTTAGTCTCCAGTATAACCTTTCCACTCATCTGTGTCAAGAAATGAAGTTGAAGATGCTCAAAATGATAAAAATTGCTGATTTACATGAAACACATAAAAATTAAAAATTGGAAAATTAAGATGAATATTCAAGCATTTTCTGTTGATATTTTGGTAGTGTACTTATATATACAAACTATATTTATTGTGTTTTTTTTTAACTCACAAGATATTCATTTCACTAGATTGTGTTAGATTTCTGAGAATTCTGTGTATTGTCAGGCTGTATGACTGCTTCTAGAGAGAGTGATTCTATTCTAAAGTTGAAGTGCTATTAACAAAGCAAGTCAAGACGTCAATTCCTTTGTGTGACAGCTATATATATTTATTTATTTTACAATATTTTATTTTATTTCATCACAATTGAAAGATTTTAAAAGTGAAATTCTTCTTCCCAATGTGCACATAAAAACATACATATATTTAGACACTTAAAAATTTACATAAGTCGAAAACTTCAGTTTATGAAAAGTTAATAAGTATAAAACCACCAGCAAAAATCCCTACTTTAAAAAAAGAGAAGCTTAAAAACAAAAAGCTATATTGTTATAAAAAGTATTCAAATCTTGCTTGCTGACATGCTAGGTTATTTATTAAAAAAAGGTCTAATCTGAATTGTAAAAAAACATTGCAAATAGACAGTATTCATCTGATAAAATTAGAATTATAGAGGTGAATGGCACTAGGTAAAAAAGAAAATCTGAACCGGTTTGTGTGTGTGGGGAGCGCTCGTAATCTTCCTGATGGGAGTGACTGTATAGATGAATGCAGAGGATGAGTTGGGTCCTGAGTTATAGTCTGCAGTTTCGTGAGATAATTTATTTCAACAATTTCGTTCACCTGCTTCACTTCCAGACCAATTATTTTTCTAGCAGTTTTTGTGATCCGATCAATTTTCTTCCGGTTATTTACAGTTAAGTTATTGTACCATACAATGCAACTAAAAGAAATGATTGACTGGACAACACTCTGGTAAAATAAATGCAAAATCGAATCACGAACATTAAAAGAACTTGACTTCCTGAGAAAATAAAGCCTCTGGTTTGCCTTGGCATACATTCTCTGAGTGTTTTTGTTCCAGTTTAACCCGTTATCAATGACTGTTCCAAGGTACTTGTACTCAGTGACATTTTCCACTTGTTCATTTCTAATGCTAACTTATGTTAGCTATGTAGAAAAGCAGTGTATTAATAGTGCTTGTTTGTTGTTGTTTACTATTTACAGGAAGTGATGACAGTTCTGACGATGCCGTCGTTGGTAATCTCAACAAATTTGCCGTGGTGCCTCCTGGTTACACGGGCATGCCTAGGAAGGGACATCTCATATTTGATGCCTGCTTTGAATGTGGTAAGGGGAAATTTTGTTAACTGACAAAATCATCACTCTAACCCTGAAAGGGTGGACTTTTTGGAGAGGATTTTGTGTAGTGGTTGACGAGGCTTTGCCTCACCTGCTTCACGAGGAGGCGGCTTCACTACCTGTCTCCTGCTTCGTGGGCAAATCGCGGGCGAATCGCACGCTTCACAGGCGAGTCACATGCTTTGAGTGTGATCGCCTGCTTCGCATGACAAACTTGTGAACACACACATTCTTGTTCCGTAACTGTGGGGACTACACATGAGGTGTCCCATGGGAACTATGGGGACCAAAGACACTATGGGGACAGCAGAAAGTCCCCATAACTAAGTCCTTATTTCCCAAACAATAAAAACTTCCCCATAATGCAGTGACGGCCCGCCCCCACACATGTGGGTAAACACCTTCAATGGTGGACCCCCTACTGTCCCTCTTTTGTTTGCACTTTTACCTCCCATATGTTTGGTACACACACCTCAAAAGTGGATCTTTGGTCAATCGTGGACCCTGTTGTCCTCTATTGTTCAAGGCCCACAATTTGAATTTGTATGCGTGTGTTTACGAGAGCTACCTTGTGGGGTACTCACACAAAGGAAACAATGGTACTCCATAAGTCAATCTTTCTACAACGGTACCCCAGAAGGGAAATTCTAAAGAAGAGGGTTAAAGGGAGAACAATGCAAGTACACCATGGTGTACACACAGACGCCCATAACCTTAACGGATGGGGTTTGTGGGGTACTCGCATTGTTCTCCTTTTATCCCTCTTCTTTAGAATTTCCCTTAGGTCAAACAAAGACCGACTTATTTCGGAGATTTTTCATTTTCCCCCAATCTCAGTCCTGGACGATGCTTGTGATACATTTCTTTTTTGTTTACTAGGGAATCTTGGGAGAGTAGATTACATCACAGAGTATGAGTACGATCTTTTCATCCGTCCTGATACTTGCAATCCTCGTTTCCGTGTCTGGTTCAACTTCACTGTTGAGAACGTCAAAGCAGACCAGGTAATGAGCCGTTCATTCTCTGCATATTGTCTTCTTCGTCTGTAGGTTATTTATTGAAATTCTCTATGGTAATAAAACTAACTGTTTTGAAAAGTGGAGAGGCACGTCATCGAAGCCTGAAGAAACCTAGAGAGAAAAAGATGATGTAAAAACCTACGGGGAAAACTCTTGAAGGATATTCCAGATTTCTTGTCCCAAAAATATATTAGATGTATATAAATGAAAGTGATGGCAAAACAAATTTTGTTTTTCACTAATTGTCTTCAATAATTAGTTCAGAAGAAATCCAATTGTCCTGGAAAGCAGGGAAAAACTACACTCTTGAAACTTTGCAAGTTTTATCAATCGTTTTCAGTCAAGACATTTAGAAATTGGAGCAATTTGGGGTGCAACCGAAGCTCATTGACATTAATGCGCCTCGTAAACATTATCCTCAAACACATGATTTTGTTTCCGTCTGTAGAGAGTCATCTTCAACATCGTCAATTTCAGCAAGACCAAGAGCCTGTATCGGGAGGGTATGTCACCTCTAGTCAAATCATCCAGTCGTCCTAAATGGTAAGATATCTGACCTTACAAGTATTTTTTTCCAGAAAGAGAAATGTGCACTACACGAGAGGCCATTTTTTACACAAACAATTCCAACAATGAAGAATTGTTTTGCTTAAATAAAAAACTGAATTAGGATTAAAATTGGAAATAACCAAGTTGTGAGATTTAATCGTTGGAGAGCAGAGATATCAAACACTTTTGGAACTGGTTGAAAGAAAGTCTTGGAAATAAATTGGCAGATTTAAAAGAGTTTACTGACAACAAATTACTGAAAGAATCAGTAATAAGTGGTACCAGGGGGCTTCCCCCTTATTTTCACAGTGGCAGGTATTAAGGGTTACCAGCCAAAATCTCATGGGTCTTGGTTGTTTGTGGCTTCATTGAATTATTTTGCTTAGGAATTTGGTCCTGGTAATAGTTCAATGCAGTACTTGCATTATAACGTTCCTTTCCTCCAATTTATTATTAAAGAAGAAGTTTAGTTCTGTGTCCCATACACCTTGGGATTAGCCACCTGCGAAGGGGGATATGGATTATGAACCCCCCCCCCCTTCTCATTGAGGTGACAGACCTTGTACGGTCCATCACGTTCTATTACGTGTTCCATTCATCACATGGTCAGTCAGTGGATAGTGCAGTGTGGACCACGTGGGGTTTACACACATCACTGTTGGGGTGTATACTGTTGTGAAAGTCTTCGCCTGATCTTTGTACCCTTCTATGGCCAAATTATAAATCTCTCCATTTTCCTGGAGAGCATTGTGTTTTAGTTTTTAAGATCAAATCTTGGAAAGCAAGTATTGTGGTTGATTGTGGCTGATGTTGTTTGATACAAAGCTATTATTGTTAAATTAAATATCCATTAGATTAAATTTTTCCAATGTTGTTTACTTTTATGTTTGTTAGGATATTACGTTGTGCATCAAAGGTTGTACAGCTTTGATATTTATTTCGGATTACTGTGACAAATCAATGTAATTTCATTTGGAATCTAATGTTCAATAAAAATGTATTTGACAACAAAATTTCAATTTGTTGACGAAAATACTGGAGTAATAAAGAAAGTAAACACATCATCTCCAGACTTTCTTAAACATCACGGATCTGTGGTCTTTGTTTGGCTTACAAGTTACAACAGTGTTAAAGAACGGAATATGTGTCTTGCTACGTAGCTGACACACAGAGGAAGTGATGTCTTGACTTGCTTCGCTAATAACGCTTCCACTTAAAATTTCTCAATTGAACCAGACAAAACACTGCTTAAAACGGTTAAATGCCTTTGTTGTGACCCTTTCAATTCTCAACTATCGCTTGCTCGATAAAAAAAGAATTAAAAATCACAAGGTGTTAATGAAATCTTATTATCTGTTGCATATAGTTAACGGTCACTCATCTTCATTCATCACTGCAACATGATTGAGTCGGAATGACTGTTAATCAGATACATTCATTAATACTAAAATCCCTGCTCTGTACAGGTTAAGCTGACTAAATGACGTTCCTTTTGTGTTTTGTGTCAAGCCTCACGTGCCGGAATAATTAAAGCAAGCAAGGAGCACTGAACCCCTTTTAGGCTTTCACACGTTTGTCAAAAGGAACAAAAGGCTTGTTAATCCGTACTTATTGGATTTTTCTCAAATGACGTGAGAATGAATCGATGGTTCTGATTACGATCACTCTGTGTCTAATAAGGCAACCGAGATGGACTGCGTCGTAACCCATGACGTTTGAACTTTCATTGATTCCGAGAGTTGACTGTCATATCTAGAGCATTATTGTCTGTAACCTTAATGCCTCCCATCCCTTTGAAGCTTTGTGTGGGATTGCTTCGTCAGGCCTCCCTTAACAAAAGGCCAGTCCTGCTTCAGTCTGGCTGACTAAAGATCTTCGGTAGGAGGGCACTCTTGAGGGGCCCAATGGTCAGGATTAGTTTCTTCTTTGGCATTTCATGTAGAAGCACACGCTTCTTCTGTTTACTTGTAAAGGCAGGCTGTATGAGGAATAAACTGCTTCTTTGTTCAACATGCAATTGTTTCTATTGATTTCTTTTCGGTAAGTGGTGAAGCAAGAAGTTGGGTGAAAATCTATAAATATCTGCAAGTAGCTTAGTTTGGCCGAGAAGAGTCAATTTCTTTGTTTGCGAAGTTAGATCGGGTTTTGAATATTGATATACTTGTTTTTTAGATTTTTTTGGGGTGCAAAATGGACAGGATTTATCTCATTGCAAGTTAGAGTGAAATGAAGTTGAAAAAAACCCAAAAAACAACAACAGCACTTTCACTAACCCAACTTTTACTCCTTGAGAGCTAATGTCAGCAGTGAACATAAAACAAATCACAGACCATGACTCGTCAGGTACGTTAGCATAGCATCATTAATCTGTCTGGTTCCTTAAATCTAACTGCCTTTGAAATCTCAAGTAACAATTATTGGGCTTGCATCAGTATAAATAATCAATCAGAAGGAAAAGAGGCTCCCGAATGATACTCCCTACTTCTGACTTAATGCTAGTTGCAGATTTGGATTTAACTCAAATAAACAGGAGTTGATGCTCATAATACGAATGCCATTTCCCGCTGTAATGTTGTCAATATCCTGACTGGTATCGTAAATTTGCATGCTATGCGCGCTCTAATGAAAGCGAATTTAAGTGAATTAATGTGGTGCATTGTGTGAAACTGAAATGACCTGTGGGAGTGTCTATAAACTCGGTGCGGTGAGATTTGGTTACAGTCTTAATGATGCTCGTAGATTTCTTACGGAATTGACTATGCAGTCCTGTCTTTTTTGGTGTCGGGGTTTCTATATTTTGATGTCGAGACAGTAATTTGTTGGAAATCTTTCCAGACTTATTGTCTCCACCCGGGCAAATTGGAAAACTCCAGTCACCACAGGATGATACATCAAGGTATGAAATGGCAAAGGTGAAATTGTCATTGAAAAGATGTGAGGCCTTTGGTATATATCTTTATTATTTTTTAAATTTGTTTTTTTTTTATGTCCTGATAAGCAATAGCTCCCCTAGTGAAAAACTTTTCATGCAGGAATGGTTTACCAGAACAAAAAATTGTGAAATGATCTGGACTCGGAAAAAAATAGGGAGGGGTGGACATCAATTAACTGTATAATTATTGCCTTAGCATTGCAATATTAGCTAACTGACACCTCTTTTCTATTTTTAAGGGGGGGGGGGGCGATATCAAACCTTCAACTCACTGAACAAACACCTAAACTGGCAGAAACATCAGCATGTACCACTTTAAAAAAAAAAGAACTTCTTTGTTGGAGTCACCAATTTGGCCATTTTATACCGTTACTGGTAGAAGAAAAAAGGCTACATTGGGTGTTTGTGAAGGAAAATGGGACTCATTGCTTGCACGTAACAATCAGTCTGATTTGGAGACCATGATCAGAGGGGACAGCCGTTCCAGACTTAGTCTTAAGACAATGCGACTGTGGCTAATGAACAAGGCTCCAGAAATCTTCATTGCCGAGATTACCAAACACCGGTTCCCTTCTAGCCAACGACAGCCGCGACATTACAGACTTAAATTGTCTAGATATAAAGAAGTCACGGCTAATGAGTGTCAAGTTCAGGGCTGTATTGCTCAGACAACTTCACTTTACTCGGACGGAGGATTTACGATGAAATGGAATTGATTTGGATGGCACGGTGGAATCCGGAGTTTTACGAGGTTTTATTTTATTGTTGTGCATGTGAGCAAGGACATGTTGTTCAAGTATTGTTACAATGGTATTTGGTATGGTAATGTATTGTGAGTTGCTGTCAGATCAAATGGAGATTTTTCATTCATTGTCCATTTCTGGACCCACTGAAGCTAATACCTGTGTACATTCAGCAGCTCATTTTTGAGATACGGTAACTGGTTCTAACGTGGAGCAGAAGTTTTGATCTTGTTGCATGAAAATATGTTAGGTGGGCTTCAGCTCAAAATAGCCGATTCTCGTGTTGCTATATACTGTACATTTAGGTTGACTTGTTACATACATAGATTGTGTCTCAAAGCTTGGAATGCCCCAGTTTTATTGAGAATGTTTATTCTGGGAATGTGTTGCCATTCAAATTAGGAAAGCAACTTTGTGTGTGCCTCAGCAGAGGGTGAAACTACATGTAGACACTAGACACAAAAATGCTTGGACAAAAGTACATTTTTCAATGCTCATGTACACGAAGAAACCTGTACGTAAAGGAAATATTTAGTTCTAGTCTAGAGGTGGGAAGAAAACTCCAGGTAATTATTGTAATCAGATACAGTGTAGGGTCTGAAAAGCCAATTCAAGTGTATCTGCCTGGGTTTGAACCTGGGTAACAAAAGTGAAAGGCGAGGAAAGAACCACTGTGCCAACTTGACTGCCCGATATGAATGGATTAATGCACGTTCTTAGATAGCTCTGCTTTTTGAAGCCAACAATTCCATGACGATTGTACGACGGCAGATCTCAGACTTGGAGCTAATTTGCTGCGTTGCCAACTGTTTCTATTACCCTCATCCACTCCATCATGCCACCTCATCTCACCGTCATTATTCTTAATGCACACCACATTCCTGATGTACTGCGCCTCTCACCAAAAGTGAATTATCCCGCATCAGAAACCCAGAAACATCATTTTTCGCCCCGACGAGTAAATGTGGTGTTAGCTTTTGGTAGATTAATGGGCCCCGTGAGACATGGTACAGGCGTCTGCGAGACGACAAGAAATCTCTAAATTTCTAATAAAAAAAAAGATTCTGAAGAACCTATAATGTTATCTTGGAGCATCAAATGGGAACATATTGGAGTATGATTTTTGTTTTGTTTTAAATTTGGACTGACGCGAGTGGAAAATTGAATAATTTGAACTGGAGCAGTGTCTAGGGGAATAGTCATTTGGTATCGTCTGCGTCGTTAGGCGCAAGACGTCGTGGCTGGGTTATGAGAGAAGTAGGCCGATGGAAATAAATGGGGTCTTATAAAAGGGTATTAGTCTGAACTTTCTCTTGTAT